TTAATATTATTTTATAATTCATACTATAGTTGTTGTTCTTTGTCTAAGACGCATTTAGCTCTAAGCCTTAACTAATGTGTGGGCCAGTATTCCAGTACTCCAGTATATATAAATATATTATTTCTTCACTCTCAACTTATTTATTGCTAATTCTATGATTTTCTGTAGTTTGAGTTTAGTTGATTCCTCAACGATTATTATTTTGCGCATTTGCGCCTTTTTCTCAATTCGTAATTGGAGTCTCGCAGAATGTTTATTTTTGGGCATATGCATGCAACGGATTTCTGTTGCCTCTTGCCTTTTGCTTTTGTTTACTTTTGCTTTCGTTTTGGCATCGTTTACGGTATCAGAATTTGGAATTGGAATCGGCATCGCTGACGGCTTATTGTTTTTTGCACAATTATAGTTTATTATGCTTTGGCCTTAGCTGGAAATACGAGCTTTTCGGCGGCGCAGCTGTTGCTGTTGCTGCTGCTGCYGCTGCCGTTGCCTTTTGCTTTTAGCTGTTCTATAAACAAATTGGAATTTCAAATTGCGTTCAATTCGTGCGAAATGAAAAATAATAAGTAGGCAAAAAAGAGAAAAACGAACGGTTTCCGTTTATGAAATGTGGAAATTTATTGCAAGAGAGAAAGGTTGAGACGGTTTATCGTAAAGAATGATCTATTTGAAACTTAGCAATTGAGAATTGATTGGAGAAATTATAAGGAAGTTTGATAAAAAATTTTTGCAAATTTTTTATTTATTTATTATCAGCTAATATCAGAAAATGTGTATATGTAAATAAGAAAACTCTACTAAACTTATATTCTATATAATATTCTACAATATTATATACTAAATATTATATAACAATAGTTTTCCATATCAGTTCCAAAAATATATATGAAAAAGGAAAAGGAGCACCAAATGGATTAGGCATTTGGGTTGATTTAGTGCGGTCAGTGCCACACCCATTGCCGCCCCTGCTGACTGGAAGCTGGAAACCCGTTTCGCAAATCGTATGCGCCAATAGCGAAACTTGTTTTTTTTGCATTTTGTTTTTGTTTGGCTACTGCCTGACCGTGATTTTGAGCTGAATGTTTGTCCATGAGCTATTGTCCGAGTCCCGATCTATATACTTATATGTATATACATATATACATCGTATGTGTGAAGCTCACATAAAGTTCCACTTTATTTGCATTTTGTGTGCGGTTTCATGCATTTCGAAAGATCTACGACAGCTTGTGCCTTCCGCCATCTCGTCTCGTCTCGTCTCGCCTCGCCCGACTTGATGTGCCTCGTCTTTGGCGTGTGAGAAAGTTGTTGACCAAGCAAACAACGACAACAACTTGGAGTGAAGTGCGGGGCACTAGGGTGGAGGGAGGTGGAAACACCGCAATTGCACAAACAACGCCCTCATCCATTCGAGTGACTGCCCAGTATAGCAAAGTGCTGCATGCAATTCATGAAATTCATTTCCAGTTCCCACTGTAGGATAGACCCTCTCCTATCTCGCGCTCTCTCTCTCTCTCCCTCTTTGTAGCCGCTGCGGTCGAGTCTCTTCCCGCACATTCCACAC